AGATAGATAGATAGATAGATAGATAGACTCTCCGCATTAAAAAAAGAAAGGTAATGATGATTAGCAATGTATAGCCATAACAACGGCTGTATAAACATTCCACAAACCTCTTACTAGTGAAGTTGTTCTTTTTTTCCTCCTTTGCCAAATCCTCGCTACTCAAAACAGGTCACCGTTCTCTCAGATTCCACTATTAGACACAAAGCCTTTCCAACGCCATATCACACGCTGGTTATGTCGAGAGGCTAAGAGAGTTCGAAAGTCAGCGGCAGAGACGTAGAAGGGGGGCTTCTCACTTCCAGCTCAGCCACAGACACTCTGACAACGACAGTCGAAACGAAGGCGAGATAGAGAGGAGAGACGGGCCTTTCTGGGTGTGACTAGGAGGGTCCTTGATGCATCCTCTCTGGTAAGGATCCGTCCCTGTTCGGAGCCGACGTGTGTAATGGTAGTAGTACTGCCTAGCACCGTTACGAAGTCCTGGTGGTGACAGGCCCGCTCGGGAGGGCTGTGACGCAGCGTTGGCGGGTCGACGATGAAGGGTGCTTGACGCGGTCCGGAGTTAATGAGAACTGCTAGAGAGGTGAGAATAGAGGGAGAGAGAGTGTAAAAGAGCAGCGGCGATATGGAAGCGGAGCAGCTCTTTTGCGAAATCCCTTCATGGCAAGGCCATGCCAAATGACAAGCGATAGTTTCCACGTGCCTTTTGCAGAGTCGAGTGTGAGGGGGGGAAGGAGCACCTGCCAAATGACGCGTGGTGTTCGAGAGGCTTCTCTCGAAAAGACGTGACTCTAGCGACGTCCTTGTAGCTCGCTCCATTCGAACCCAATACACACGGGGGGAGCCTGAGACTGAATCGGCGAATGAAGTCAGTTGCTAGTGGGGGTGGGGGGGGGGGGGGGACGTGGCGATGTGATGTTGTGCTGGGCGTAATCTCGGTCAGCTGGGGTGTCTACAGGTCGGCGTCACATAGAAGGAGGGAGGAAGCACCTGCCGGCAAAGTGCACCTCACTTCTTCATGAGACCGAACCCCTTCTGACAAGGTAATCAAGTCGTACAAATTTATGTTGTCTACTGGTCTTTAGTTGAGCGTTTACGAAGTTAAATTATTTAGCTTTAGCGCCGATCTGAGGAAATGGTGGTCGTCAAAATAGAACACTGTTCTATAGGACGCCTCTCTATCTCGCTTTGCACTAAGGCTTGAAAAGCACGGGCTCCATATCAGCGTGTCATTCGCTCATCAGCTCAGTTCGTACAAATAACGTTGAAATGAAAGACGACTGAGATGGCGTCCTTTTCTCGTGAGGACGAGTAGAAAGTGATCATTGTACGCACACTGCGTATTTTAGCACAGTCTAATGAACAAGGCACCAACTAATTACGCACAATATTAGTATTTCCGCACTGCGATATTCAGTTTTTGCTTTTCTCACACTTTTCGTTTGACAACAACGCGCATTCTTCACGTGCTCTAGTTAAGTGCATCTGAATGAAACAATATTGCTAACACACAGCTGCCATGAGTGGGCATTTGCAAACACTAAAAACTTGGAACACCGTGAACACTTAAAAATGCACCTTTTAGGAGCTCTTTAGGTATCGGAAACTAATGCTTCATTTGCTATTCCGCTTTATAAGACGTAAGCAGCTGGTCAACAAATAATTTTAGGTATCATACCTATAAGTATAAGGCATTGGATTTCAAGAAATGTGATAATAGGAAATGTATCCACAAGCACAATAAGTTGCTATGCTCAATGCAGCGTCCCAATTTCTTATATTTAAAGTGACTAAAACTTATGTCAGGAGCAGATAATACATTTTTCTACGTGGAACCGGAGTGTTAATGCACACAACTTCAATTACATCATTTCTTTTTTTATAATATACGTGTGAGTTTACGTGAATGCGAATTGAACGGCAAAGTAACATCATAAATAAGGAACGAAAATGAAGCAAGCATGTAATCAGTCAAGGAACCTATGCCGCAAGCTTGAAAAGTGGAACATAGAAATAAAGCATTGCAGTGGTCGCTAACTCCTCAGTAAACGAACTGCAAAATCTGTGGATTCATACAATGATGCAACTATATTGTCACAAGCACCCGTAGTGGAGACTCGTGGGAATTTAGAGAGGCAGAAAATGAATAAAAGGAAGAGACAGGGAGGTTAACCTATAGAAGAACTGGTTTGCTGCCCTGTACAGGGGTGGAGAAATAAGGGTTGAAAAGAGGATAGCGATTGAGAGATATAAAATAAATTAGGAAAAAAACAGACATGCACACACATGGAGGGCGTTGCAATCACAGTCGTTTGGAGAGACCGGCTGAACGCAGGAAGCGCAGGAGCGCCTCCACAACCTTCTTCTGCTACATAAAGTCCTGTCGGTAGTGCAGAATTCTTTCTTCCGAAATTTAATTTTCGACTGAGGAGTATACGCTTTTTAATTTAATGGGCTACAAGTTTTAATGGCTTGCACTGCTTACTTTTGTATACTGATTTGTTGTAGTGCCACAAATATCCAACCTCAATTACTAAAAAACCGCGTTTTTCTGAAGTTCATATATTGTGTTTGTACTTACTCGAATTATCGCTATTCATTACGCCGTACTACACAAGTACGTTTGTAATTTAGCCACTTGTATAATGGATATGTGACTTTTCTTTTTTTTACAGTTATCTGCTGTTAGCTGTAGTCGTGGGGCTAGAAGCCAGCCCAGGCGCCCGTATCTTCGGCACCAGTACAATTCGTGACTTGTCGTGGACTGTCAATGAACTTCGAACATATCGTAAGCAGACTTTTCCCGCATCGGCATGAAACTAGACCATTAATAAATGCGAAGCATTTATTAGCAAACTTCGGTGACTTTGAGCGTATCTATCTATCTATCTATCATATATCTATCTATCTATCTATCTATCTATCTATCTATCTATCTATCTATCTATCTATCTATCTAATCTATCTATCTATCTATCTATCTATCTATCTATCTATCTATCTATCTATCTATCTATCTATCTATCTATCTATCTAGTCTATCTATCTATCTATCTATCTATCTATCTATCTATCTATCTATCTATCTATCTATCTATCTATCTATCTATCTATCTATCTACTATCTATCTATCTATCTATCTATCTATCTATCTATCTATCTATCTAGCTAATCTATCTATCTATCTATCTATCTATCTATCTGCGTCTGTCTGTCTGTCTGTCTGTCTGTCTGTCTGTCTGTCTGTCTGTCTTCTGTCTGTCTGTCTGTCTGTCTGTCTGTCTGTCTGTCTGTCTGTCTGTCTGTCTGTCTGTCTGTCTGTCTGTCTATCTATCTATCTATCTCTATCTATCTATCTATCTATCTATCTATCTATCTATCTATCTATCTATCTATCTATCTATCTATCTATCTATCTATCTACTATCTATCTATCTATCTATCTATCTATCTATCTATCTATCTATCTATCTATCTATCTATCTATCTATCTATCTATCTATCTACTATCTATCTATCTATCTCTCTATCTATCTATCTATCTAGCCGCTTACGTTTGGGTGCTCTCGTGGTCACCTCCTTAACTTCGCGTGAACCAAAATTAGCATGGGAGGGTAAGGTGGTCTGACTAATATGACGCACTGATCAACACTTAAATAATGTGACAATCCCATATACATCGTCAAACACTTCCCGCTAGGCAGTGGCACATATAGCATTACGGAATAATGTGACAATCCCGTATACATCGTCAAACACTTCCCGCTAGGCAGTGGCACATATAGCGTAAAGAAATACCTGACATCGGTAGCGTTGGCCAGACGAATACAAAGAATAAATGTCAGGGTTTCAGCTGGAATCAAACCTAAGCATTCTGCGTGGCAATAAAGCATTTTACCTCGGAGCTACCCAAGTCTCAAACTACTTTTCAAAAAGACGCTTACTTTCGTTAAATGTCAATAGTGGTTGCAGTGCTGCTTGTCCAATTTTACAAACATCACATATGTATTCCTTTGATGCCACCGTCACGTCGCGTTAACGTCAATTGTGGTTAGTTGCCATGCGCTGAAGTTGATCTATGTAGTGGCGTCCAGGGCCAGCATCTTTGCGACCATCAGCGCTTCATATCAGCGCCCGGTGTAGCTAATACGCATGTTCCAGTGGGCATCGTTGCGCAAGTGCAAACAACTGGTTACATAAACTTCTGCAACTCTTCCACTAGTGTCTGTGCGTGCAACATTTGTAAATATCTTTAGCGTCATTTCATTACTGCTGCGCAATGGTAAATTGCAACACGGTCACCTTCCCTCTGCATGTTTCGCATAACGTCGATTCCCAGCTACGTGGGATCTGCCGAATTTTTTCTTTTATGTACTATGCGGCGAGGCACCCCCCTTTCCCCACACACGCACGCACACACCCACACACAGACACAAACACGAATGGCCACATATCCACCTGCTTTGCTGCAAATATTGTCGAAAGACGATAGCTTTCTGCATGCTAGCCTTCTTTCGTACGTAAATAGCGTCGCATTTTCAGCGCAAGCTGGAAAACAATAGGGTCTTTAGAATTACGTATATATACGTAATTTCTAGTAAAAGAATACACCACCTAAAACTTACGTACTGATTTCGCGCCTCAGATATGCGTATTATTTGCTTTTTGATTAACATGTTCACAAGTATGAACACATCCACCAGTTGAAGTCAGATGGACGTTCATTAAGTGCCTAAACTTTGGTTGGGTGGCTGAATTGTGTGACAGACAGACAGACAGACAGACAGACAGACAGACAGACAGACAGACAGACAGACAGACAGACAGACAGACAGACAGACAGACAGACAGACAGACAGACAGACAGACGGACGGACGGACGGACGGACGGACGGACGGACGCACGAAAATTTTTGCGCTCAAGTATCCCAAGGAAGACTGTCGTCTTTAAAGAAAATGTCATTCCGGGTGTCATATTCTAATTTCCACCCACCATGACTCAGAGCTACGTATGTCGGGAACAAACGGAAGATAAACGGGGGAGTGGAGGTTAGGCTGCGGCATGGGAGAAGCGCGATCCATTTATCCATAGAGGAGTGGCCTGCTGGATGCTGCGCTCTGCTCTGTTTCGGCTGCCACGTACGCTCAGGAAGCGATCATACGAGCTCTTTGCCTTCTTCACATAGATGGCCGAATTTTCCCATGGGGCTATCCCGGCGTGTGGCGTTTTTCCGGTTAGCGCCTCCCGGCACAGTAACGAAGCGATGACAGGACCATCGTCCTCTCTGTATGCGGGAGGGGTACAAAAAGAAAAAAAATACACGCGATATAGTAGAGGAAGAAATGGTAAGTGCATCATAGACACGTAGCTCGCAAAGTAATAAAAATATAAAGGGATGCTAGAGTGATTGAATTTCACACGTGTACAAGAATTTTCTACTTGAGGAAAATTCGGTGCCTGACCGAATTCACCTGACCAAATTCACCTGAGGAAATGTATGAATGGAGGGACCTTAGTCAGGCAGAGGTAATCTGCCTTTAGTCCCTTCAACCTAGGCAATCATTGTTTTTGTCTGAATAAACAGTGAATGAATGAATGAATGAGTGGAGAGTATACTTGTTTTTTTTGTTTTATGAAAATGTCAGCGTCTCGACGTCTACTCGTCTTGTACAAACGCTTAGAATCTCATTAAACTCGACCCATACATAAAGAGAACGGCATTAACGCATTAAAAAGAAATAGTTCGCCTTACTCGCTGTTACTGAAGGCGTACTAGTGAATAGCTTGAGCGTTGCAGCACAATATGTGTGACGTATTCTGCAAAGAAACATGGACCTCAATTACCTTTACACTCAGCTGACGAGTAATATGATAACGTGTCAGTCCCAGCTCTCTCCCCCCTCCCCTTCATCTTCCGTTTATTACCGACATACGTAGATCTGAATCGTGGCGTATGGAAAGATGCGCTGGTGGATACTTAGTTGCAAAAAATACACTTGCATTGAGGCTTGTTGCGTCTTATTTATTAAATATCGACATTATCTAAATATTTGAGTAACTTTTTTATGCACAGCTATGGAAACCAACAAACAATTAGGCTAAGGAGCCACCAGGGTCATTACGTATGGCTTTACATTAACTACATATAGTGTAATGACTCTGAGTTGAATTGAAAGGAAGCAAAGTGGACGAGAGATCATCCTTCGAGTCGGTGGGATCCTTACCCACAACCTCCGAATTGCGCTTGAAATCCTCTGCCATTTGTGCTCTCAAAATATTTCGCACGACGCATAAGTTTTTATAATTCGAAGACACATTACTATGGTTCCGTTATAACTGAATCGTGCGATATGCACAATTTTTGAACTGCCGCTACCTTACTCATGTTGCAAGTCATATGCCGTAGACTACACTCACGTGTTGCATCGCGCATGCTACGTGCTCAATGCTGGCAACGACCATATGACGTTTAATTAACCCTGAAGGCATATAAGGACGGCGAAGCGATCAGAAGAGCGACTACACCTTGGAGTGCCCTGACACTGTCAAAATATGAAATGCTGACCATGTCGCCGAACTGCGCCCCCCGCCCTCATATGCAAAAGCAAGCAAGTGGTTACTTTATCGCTAATAGACGCCAATGTTGATTTAGAAGTGTGGCAGCTTGGGGTAGTTGGTATGGCATGACGATAGTTATAGCGCGAGAACAAAACGACGACACAGAGACAAGAAGGACACGAAAGACACGGGTCTTTCGTGTTCTCCTTTTCTCTGTGTCGTCATTTTGTTCTCGCGCTATAACTATCGTCATGCCAATGTTGAACGTGGCAGAATTCAACAATGACCAGAAAGACATCATGCATAGTTTTGGCGCAAAATATTCATATTCGTTCATGTTTCGCTTCAGGAGGTGAAGGCTAAAAATAATTAACCCATTATTAATCGAGAAGCATCCTTTGTTCTTTAACTACAGAAGTAGAAAAAAACAAACGAAAAAATTCGGCAGATATACCACGTACCTTGAGCATCGAGGTAATTCGAAGCATCCAGAGAGAACAAGATCATGTCGTAATTTTTTGTTGATCAACACTTCATGAAATGACGCTAAACATATGTACAAATTCGCACGCACAGACATGTGGCAAAGAGTTGCAGATGTTTATATAAGCAGTTGTTTGCACTCGGGCAACTATGCCAACAGAAACCTGTGCATTAGCAACACCAGAAGCGATAACCTCACATCAAGCGCTGGTGCTGGCGAGGATGGTAGCTCTGGACGCCGCTACATAAATGCAGCGCGTGGCATCTAACTACAATTGATATTAACCCAACGTGACGACGGTATAATAGGAACACATTGACGGTCAAAATATTGCGGACAACGGGGCGCGTGTCAAACTAAGGTCCCTAGATGAAACAAGTTTCCAAGGTAGCGACACCCTCCCTTTTCCTCCTCGCTTATTTGCCTGAAGCGCTCCCTAGAAGGTTTAAAACTTTCATCCAAAAGTGAATGTTTGGGTTCTGTTGCTACGGTGAATTGATGTAAATGAAACAAAATGGAACGAAATAAGACGTAGAATAAACAGTTACCTTTATGAACATAAACGGAACAACACAAGAGCAAGCGGGATGTGCGTTACTCTACCGGCAACGTTAAGCAGTTCTATACTTTACACCACTAGCCATGGCGTCTCACGTATAGTACATTTTTAGTTCCACGGCCGCGGTATTTCGTCCAGTTCTAACTAGTCCACTTCTGCGATTGTGTTTTGTTCGTGCTTTGACACAGTGAACGTGTTTCTTGCTGGATCCTGTAAGTGGCCACAGGGCGTGACGTTGTGACGATTGATTACAACTGGCTTGTGCACACGCAAGAAAAAAAAAAAAAAAAACTACGACCAGACTGGCACGAACACTCGTCCAGCAGCACTGCGATGACGTTTTTTTTAAAAAAAATGTGCCCATTTGGACAATGGTGATGCCAAGTGATTCTGATGCGGTGCTGGGAACTTCCTGAAAAGTGAGAGTTCTACTGGCGAGGTGTCTCGAAGCAGCGCGTTTCGGCTCAAGCGGGAACTGGTCAAGAGTGAAATGTTTCTGAAGGTGCGTTGATTACAACCTACAGCTGCTCTGTATAACGTGCATACCCACATGTATTTGTACCAACTGGCATGCACTAGACACGCATTAGACGCGCGCTTGGCGTTTCAATAAAAACCGACAAGTGAACCCGCTTCGCAGATCCGCGTCGACATATGTTGACGGAGTTGCACGAAAGCATTCGCGTGAAATGGTTCATAGTTGCACTTCATGGTGCGCTTCATCTCGGAAAGCACGAGGTAAGTTAAAGAGAGCGAAACCATTTTCTGTTGTTTACGGCAACGCAGCATTGCTGAAAAACGCAGATGTTGCATTTAACGAGCATGGCGAAACAATCTTGGTCGACTTAGCGCACACCGAAACGCTCCTCCTCTTCAGTTTATGTTCTGGCTACGATTTTGTCTTTGGTCACGGCGAGAATCCGGCTAGAGCCATATGCGCATGCGTACTCGTTTTGAACCTTTTGCATAATAATAAATAACACCACCAGCCATTTGCAAGATCACGTGCAAGTAATGCACCAATTACAGACGCGGATGGCAGAGAAAAAGAGGAATACTCGAGAGAGTGAGGAGGACAGCTCGAGAACAATGAGTGACGCTACCTTGTTTCATCTAGGGACCTTATGTCAAACAGCACTGAGGCGACTTCTGACGGCTGCCTTTGAAGCTCGTGGGATCGCAATGCGAGAGCGTGTCGCAACGCGCAAGCCTGCTAGTTCGCTCTCTTCAACAGCTCTCGCACTAGAACGCCAGAAGAAGCCCAACACTTGAAAGGGCCAATGCTACGTACACACACGTTGGCTTTCTTACGGCATGGTTGAGGCATGCACCGAGAACCGATGCGCGCTACCAGTTCAGATGGCGATGCGGTCGAGGCCCAACAATGTTATCGCTATCTGCTTTCGAAGGCGAATCTCAGCGTACTTTTTGGGGGCGCAGCTCCTTATAGCGGCACCCGTTCGTCCCGCGTCCCGTCGTAGTATATAACCAGTCTTACGCTTTGTCGTATAAGTACCGTGCGCTAACCAATTGCATCACTGGGGAATATAAGTCTTACGCTTTGAGCTGCAAACATTTCGACCTCCAAGGAGGTGCAGGTGAGAGATTCCTTCTGTGCGTTGTTGAACAACAAAAAATAGTGCTCAATGTACATGCCAATAGCTGATAATGGGGTATGAAAGACAGGAGAATTCGGCTTTTAGTTAACGTGCACGCTGCGATCCCCATTAGCAGCCATTGCATGTACATTGAGCACTATCTGAAGGGAAAGGGTTGCTATGTTATACCCGCTGGGTGTAACCTCCTTAGTTTTAGAAAGGTTTAGCGAGCATTCAGCCGCAGTGCCATGAATACAATGAACTAGTATATACCATGTATGAACTCGAGGTAGCTAAAGGTGGCAAGTAGGTACGAAGTGCAGCCGTAAGGAAGTAAAAGCCGAATTCTCCTGTCTCTCATTTCCCATGCAGCCATTGGCATGTACATTGAGCTCTATCTGCCAGGAAAAGGTTGCTACGTTATGCTCTCTGGGCGTAATCTCCTTGGTTTTAGAAATGTTTAGCGAGTGTTGGGCCGCAGTGCCATGAATACAGTGAACTAGTATATACCATGAACTCGAGGTGGTTAAAGGTGGGAAGTAGACCCGAAGCGCAAGCGGTTAGAAAGTGTGCGTGTGCCACCTTTTCCTTTAGTCCTTGGGATGTCCGCTGGATGGCGGTGTTTCTATATGAGGAATATATGATGAAAAGATGCGAGATGGTGGTACTTTGAGTGTTGTATAGATGGACGAACGGACACACAGACAGATGCATGAATGGACGCATGAACGGACGCAGGGGTGGATGCATGGACGAACGCAGGAATGGACGCACGGACGGGCGGATGGACGCATGGACGGTCGCACAGACGGAAGGAAGCAAGAACGAATGGACGGACGAATGCTTCGCCCCACTCTCCATTATTCACTCCGTGGATATGGTGCCAATTTTTTCTACATAAGCGAGGTTTGTACCGATGCTTTACCTAGCCGTGCAGTAGGAGTGCCTTCTTATTAACCGCGAACTCATCACAGTGATAGTCATCACTCTGATTAACTCACACGCTTCGACCTGTGCGCTGCTCCAGCTCGCAGCCAGGCGCTTGTGTTATGCATTACAGCCCTGTGTCCATAAATGCCCGGACA